GTGTGTGTGTGTGTGTGTGTGTGTGTGTGTGTGTGTGTGTGTGGTGGGGGATGGAAGTATCAGTAACAATCAGAGAGAGGGATATATAGCATGATGCACCTGTTTCCTATTGCCATGATAACAAATTAGTACAAATATTAAGAGTCTTGAGACAACAAAATACATCTTAAAAGTTCTGCATGGTAGAAGATGGCACAGGCCTTATTCTTAGCTAAGCTAAAAATCAAGGTATTGACGGGGCTATATTCCCTTTTGCAAGCTTGGGGAGAGTGGGCTCCTTGGTTTTTCCAGTTCTACAGGGTTCATACATTCCTTGGCCCACTGCCCATTGCCTCCATTGTCAAAACCAGCAACATTGCATCCCTCTGATCACTCTGCTGTAGTTACATTCTCCTCTGATCACAGCCAGGGAAAGTTTTCAGCTTTTAAAGATTCATTTTAAAGATTCATGTGATTAAATTAGCTTCACTCGGCTAGGCCCAAATAATCTTCCTGTGCCAGCCTTTGCAAAGTCCCCCTTTCCCATGTAAGGTAACACAGTCACAGATTCTAGGGATGAGGGTTTGAGCATTGCTGTATTAATGTACCTACCACATATGGGTTGGTAAGAATACCTTGAGAGTCCTGGCCAGCAGACAAGATCAAGGAATAAGAAAGACGAATGGTGCTTTCCATTTCTCAACTATTTCCTATAATGTCAAAGTACTGAGGAAATCAAAACTATTGTCTGAGTAAGGGATGTAGAATAAACTACGTACATGTTTATCAGATCAAGACTTGGCTCTGCCTTCACAAAGGAAGAATAATGTACCTGGGAATGAGAATGCCCCAGTCACAGCCAGCTGGCACTTGAGTAGCAGGGGATAATGCTAAAGGTTACAGTTTTAACATTAAAAGGAACGTATCTCTAATTGTCATTATCAAAGGGATCATTTATTCATTGTTTCCTATGATGCAGGTGCTATATATCTAGATTTTCCAGTAAGAAAATGAAGTGGGTTTGGTTTTGTTTTCTTGACATTGGCTCATCTTGTGGCCCAGGTTATCTACGTGAAAGTCTGGGCAATCTGCCTGCCTTAGCTTCCCAAGTACTTACATTACAAGCATGAACCACAAAACCCATCCAAATTTGAGTATTTTAACTCTCTCTCTCTCTCTCTGTCTCTCTCTCTCTGTCTCTGTCTCTGTCTGTCTCTGTCTCTCTCTCTCTCTCTCTCTCTCTCTCTCTCTCTGTGTGTGTGTGTGTGTGTGTGTGTGTGTATGATGTTAGGACTGAGCCCAGGGCCTTTTGATGCTAAGCATATACACAACCATTAAGTTATCTACCTTCTCCCCAAATAACTTTTTAATAGTTATACTACTTAATAAGACTTTACTTTCACCAAACCGGTAAAAAGTACACATTTGACCCCATAGCCTGAGCTCTTTTCTTTTGAAACTTGAGTGAGATTTGTAGTGAAAAATGCCACATTCAAAGCAAAACAGTTTCATTAGCAGTAATGTACACCACACATTTTGGCTATCTACGATATGCATATAAGAAAAAGTCTTTGACATCTTACATGATTAAAATCTAAACAAGTACGAGAATTAAAAGTCAGCTACTGTGGTTGTGGAGGATGCAGTTTTGAGTACAGTTTCTCCCTCCATATGGGAGTTCAGGGAAGAGAAATGCACATAATACAAGAAATAATTCTGAAATTCTTAGATACATCACAACATGGAAGAAATGAGTAGAGGTGGAAGCCAGGAAGTTCACTGTGAATAAAACAAGGGCAAGTCGAGGAGGTACACCATGGGGGATGCAATGAGTATGTCTGTTTCAGACAGAGTTCCTGGGCTGCCCTGCCCACCCTCAACAGAAGGAACTAGGGTTCCTCAGCCAGTAAGTGTAGCTAGCACTGAACATGAAGGTAGAATACAAGCCTTCTAAGCCATAAGCAGGATGTGTCATGGAACAGAAGTCACGTCCTAATGTCATATCCTGTTCCATAAAATGGCTGGGCTCATCACTTTTGAGTCAATAGCCAGTTACACCAAGAATTTCTGTTTCCTTATCTTGTGAGAAGTAAAAAAGTAATATGAATTCCATAGGATCGTTGTGAGAGATAAAAGGTATGCTGCATGTAAGGAATCTAAGAATAATAATCACATGATATATTTCAGTTGAGGCTATTATCAATCCCTCTGAGTTTGTTTGCACAAGAAACAAGTCTTGTCTTTCAGAAGACTGTTATTGGCCACTTCTGAGACACCAGTGCTATTTGTACGTACTCCTCTAGTCATAGGTTAAATTCACGTCTTTCCTGGCAAGGTGTGGTTAATGATACTCAAAAACATTTCTTTCTATAGGGTGGTGTCACGCCTGTCCCAGAGACCTGGGGCCTGACACCACTTGAAACTTGCTAATCACATCTGGTTTAGCTTTAGACATTTTCTGGGATTTTGCCAGCAGCTACGGCATTTTAATGGCTACAATAAACCTCAAAGCCTCATCAAATCTTTGCTGTATGTGTGAAAATTATGTCCTCCTCAATTAAACATTCAGTCTGGGTTCACACCAAGGCCTTATTGAAAGGAAGGTGGAACTGGATGGGGACTGGAGATGAAACGGACCGCTGTGACCCTGGCCATCTCACCAGATGGGATTTAGAAGAAAAAGAAATTCATTAGAGAACCCAGGCTCTGTATTTTCTTTAAATATTTACTGGGTACCTTTCATGTGTTAAAAACACTGGCATCTCTAGAGATTAGCAGGGCATTTTTGTTGAAATATTCAGTGTGTGTGGGGTCGGGGGTGGAGTTCTCTCCTTTGTTTTTCGCAAGATGCTATGTCTCTGAAAGAAGCCCAGCTTCAGGGAAAAACCTCAGGTACTACTCAGTCTTCCTTCCCAAGGCTGTTCCACCAGCTCTGGAAGCTCATGTGGGTCCTTGGAGTGACTGCGGGGAATGGTCAGTGGCGATGGGGAGGCAAGAACAACACTTAGCAGTATCCCTAGACAAAGTGGGATGCCCTGGGAAACCTCCCCCTCCACTCTCCTCCAATCCCTCTACTATTCATCATCAAGCTCATATGGATAAGGACAGCCATGAGGACGTCAGGGGAGGTAGCCCCTGGCAGGAGAGGGGAAGATCAAACAGAGATCAAGTTTCTTCTCAAACATCTATGAAGGGTCAGGCCAAGGGCTTTTCAAGGGGCAGAGAGACAGGACTAAGAATGGACACTAAGGGAAGACATACATCTTATATCCCCAGTCACCACTATGGACATTTGCTGCCATCCTGAGAGTTGCCTGCCTCCTAACTCTACCCCTGGAGAAGTATAGAGAAAATTCCATGTGATAGCTTATTAGTCTGTTTTATGACAGTAGAAATTCAGCTGGTATCAGAGATGAAGATAAACTGTCAGTTCCTAAAAGGGAAAAAAATGACCCCATGTTCACATATAAGATTCCTATACAAAGGATCCATTTAGTTGAACTTATTCTCTTGACTACAGAAACAGTGGGCGTGGGACAGAAACAGCATACTCCTTTAAAAATAGTTTATAGCCTTAAAAAGGTTAACTTGTAACTACTGTCTTTACTTGAACACGTTTTATGCCCAAAGTAAATATAAATGACCCTCCTCCCCCCGCCACTATGAGCACTTTGCTTCCATGTCCAGGCTGGTCTCAAACTGAAGACCAGGGTTTGGAGCACTCTTTCACAATAAACATTTTTAAAATGTTTATTTTATGTTTGAGTGCAAAAATATTTCTGGTTGAAGCTCTCCATTTCCTCAAGCTCTCCTACTGGTTGCCGAGGGCCCCGTTTCCACATGAATACACTCCCTAAATTCTCTATCGAACAGTCCATTGAAGTCACACCAATGCCAAGGCTAGTATTTCTATTCCTGGACAAAGAGATGTCTCCATAGTGAAAACACAGGACCTGAGGGGTGCCAAAGGAAAATTCCTGCTCAAGAGACACATACTTTTCCCTTCTAAAAAAGCCTAAAATGTGACTTTCAGGCTTTTGGATTCTGTCATTAAAATTGTACATTTAACTGAAATATACCATTTATTGTGGGTTTTTTTTTTTTTAATCATCAATAGAGTTGTGTCAAAACCAAATATAGAGTTACAGCCTGTGTGCATATATGTGACAAGAATATACCTATATGTGTGTGTGTGTGTGTGTGTCTATGTGTCTGTGTGTGTGTACATACACCTATATACATATATATGTATATGTGTAGTGAAATAAGCTTAGAAGATATATGTTATGTAATTAGTTAGGTCTGATTGAAGCAGAGGACATCTGCCTCTGACCAAAGAAAAATTTTCCCCAAGTCTCAACTTTCTCATCTCTAAAATGATGCTAATATAATTCTTGCTTATTACAGTTGTTATAAGGATAGTATGAGAAAATGGCTTGCTTGCAATAATAACTTTAATGCCAGAAGAAGGCAGATATGGAGCAGGGGAGATAGCTCAGGAGAAAAGTAGTCTTGTAAGTATGAGGTTCAAGTTTGAACCCCAGAACTCATTTTTTAGAAGCAGGTATGGTATGGTGGTGCACACTTATAATGTTAGCACAGGAGGTGGAGGGTAGGAAGACCCCTGGGGCAAGCCAGTTTAGTTTACATGATGAGTTTCAGGTCAGAGAGAGATTCTGTCTCAAAGACAAAACCAAAAACTGAACCAACAAGATGGGCTGTGCTTGAGAGCTGACGCCCAAGGTGTCTGGCCTCCACACACACCTGTATGCAAATCCCTCCAAACACAAACAGGTGAGCATACAGGAGTAGAAGATGATATGGCAAGACACAGAGATGCCAAATGATCAACAGCTAAATCAGAGGAATGGGTGGATTGACTGCCTGCAAACATTGCCCAGAGAAGGGATGTCCCATGACGGCTGCAGGAGCCCATGGGGAATCTCCACACCAACCCACTGCATGAGCTAGCCATCAAATAAAACTGTTCTAAGAAGTCACCCTTGCAATTATCCCATTACCTTCTAATTGTCGCTTTAATTTTCTCAAATCTTTTATGAGGTCTTCAAACTTGACTTGGGAGGCCAGAAAGAAATCTTGTGGTTCAGGCAGTGGGAAAACACTCTTGTCTGTTCCAGCTTCCTAAAAAGTAAAGAAAAGCACAGGGTAAAGAAAAGCACAGGGCTGGAGTGATGGCTCAGCAGTTAGGAGCAGTGGTCGCTCTTCCAGAGGTTCCAGGTTCAATTCTTGCAACCACACGGCTGCTCAAACTGTCTGCAATTCCAGTTCCAGATATCTGACACCCTCACACGGACACCCACTATACACATAAAAAAATATTGCAAAAAACTTAGCAAAAACAAAACAAAGTCACAAGAAGAGCTTATTCTACTTCTGTTGACATTCCATTGCATCAGTCATTTGGTCAAATAGGAATCATGGCACTGCTTTGTTAAGCCAGGACTCTGTTATCATTTTGGTCTTCCTGGCATTGAAGTTAGCTACAGTGCTGGCATGTACTGCATTTCTACCTTGCCTAATGAGTGGGAGAGGAAGGTGTCAGGTAGATTCTTATCCATTTCTCTATTCCCATGGAAAAAGACAGGGGAAACACATGAAAGTACTTACATTGAAAGTCCCTGTTTGAGTTACACATGCTAGCAATCAGATAACCCATCTTGGGGGTGCCAGTGGGTGTGGACTGGACAAGGAGGCTCTGAGTGGGAGATGCTATCCCCTTCCTTTACTCACCCTTTCTGCAGCTTCAACTCTGATGCATGTGTGTACAGTCTGATTTTTTATGTGTGTATAAAGGCCATATAAATGCTGTTGGTTTATCTTAGGAGGTATTCATGGCAGGCATGGTTGAGTATGGTTTTGACAAGGTCCGAGTCTCTATCTGATGGATGATCTGAGCCGTGAATTATCGAAAGGAACGGACACTTCAGGCACACTGAAACATAAGCGGCGCCTTAAATATTCTCTGCAGCCTAAGCGCTTTCTCCTGAGTTGTTTAATGTAAGCTGCTATCTTGCATATCTTAGTCTTCAGTTGTTTCTCTCTATGCACACGCTACTTTGCCAGCTTTCCTTCACATTCCATCTTTCCTAGTGCCATTAGGACTACTTCCAAATGCCGAAAGTGCTTTACAAGGCACTTTATGATCTGGCCTCTGTCTACAGCACCAGCCGTAGACTTACCTTCCCCCAACATCAAGTCCTACGCCCAAGCTTTCATGAAATAAGAGAACAAGCCAGTCTCTTGCCTCTAGGCCCTTGTCAACAAAGCTGTTTTTCCCCCCCTTTCCCCAGAATCTCCCATAGCTCCTTGTTCATATTCATCCTTCAAATCTTAATACAAACATTACTTCCTCAAAGATTTCCAGGACCTCCCCAAACTTGGGTGTTTCTCTGAGTGTCTGATCCTATTGCTGTGGCACTTATGCATTAATTAGATTTTTTTAGCATTATATTGTATGTCTGATGTGTCACTAGACTATAAACACATCAATGGAGGGACTCTCTTCTATTCCTGTAATAGTATATAGTATCTGACGTATCAGTAAATACTTTTGGCTGGTGGGCACCACTGCAGATCGTTCATGAAATATTGCTTTGTGAATATGCAAGTTTACCATGAGGCACCTATCTTAGTAATATGTAGTTTTTAATAACTCCATACAAGTATAATGTGTGGTTTTGGTCAAATCTACTCCCCATTCCCCTCTCCCCTACTGCTTTTCTATTCCAACTCTTCACATTCTCTCTTAAAGAGTATTGAATCCACTTAGTGCTGTCTATATGCAAAGGAGTGTAGGGTCATCTATTAGAGCATTGGCAGGCTGTCAGTGGCTTTATCCCTGAAGAAAAATGCCTCCCTCACAGCAGCCTTCAATTTCCAATGTATTGTCAGTAAAGAGCAGGACTTTTTGGACCCCTCCACCATCCACATTGGGATTTTGGCTGTCTTCAACTTGGACAGGTTTATGCGTACAGTGTGATAGAGAAGTCTTGCTTAGAGCTGACCACTCCACAGTATCAGACATGTAGTTTATGACTATATTTTCCTAATGACCCTTTCACAAGGGTTGCCTAAGACCACCGAGAAATACAGATATTTACATTATGATGCATAACAATAGTAAAATTAGAGTTATAAAGTAGCAACAAAGTAATTTTATAGTTGGGGGTCACCACAACATGAGGAGCTGTATTAAATAAATGGCTGAGGCAATAGGAAGGTTGAGAACCACTGCTTTAAGTCTTTCAGATTCATTTGGTTGCATGACGGAAGGTGGCTCTCCTCACTTGTCACCATATTTCTCCATCTTCCTAGACTAATTTTTCTAGTTTAAAAACAATTGGAACATCATGAATGTCAAATCTGAATGCAGAGTGAAAAGCCATCTAAAGCATGCCATGGGGATCCACACTGGAAGAATTCTGGTATAATACTTTGTAAGCTTTGTGTCCAACTCTACCATGGCTTCAATTTATTTCCTAAGGTAGAAAAAGAGACAATGCTGGTAATGAATCAGCCTGGGGGAACCCAGACAAATCACTGGGAGTGGACAAATTGTCTCTGCATGATTTTCTTCAGCCTCCACAGACCGACACTTGGACCCAATGCCAGGTAGAAGGAACAGGAAACTGAAAGGACTCACGTTTCCTCAGGTCACTGCTCATCATCACTGACCACAAAAATCATCACTTCTGCCCAAGGGCGAGGAGCTTCATAAATCCCACAACTCCACAGTCCCCTTTGAGTGCAATGTGTTCTTCAGTGAACATGGGGTGGGGTGGGGAGTCACTACACAAATGTGGATGGGGCTCATTCCATATGTGCAACTATTCTGATCATATTTTCCTCCACAAAGTCAATTTCATAGCATCCTGCTCTCACCAACAACCATATTCTATGAACTAACTGCAGAACAGTTGACTATTCTTCCAAATCTAGGGCTACAAATGTCACCTGCCAAGATTCCTCAGGGTAATTCTGCCCTGTGGGAACTTGCTGTCAGAACTTAGAGTATGCTCAGATGTGCCTACTGCTGCTAAGTTTCGTGAAGCTCAACACATCTTCACTCCAGAAAAAGAAACTATTTTCTCACATCTAGTTCTTTACATCTGCCAATTTATTCCACTTTTTGTGACATTTACTTATTGGACACCTCCCTGGCAGACACTAGAAAGTTAACAGTGAATTCTGGCTCTCAAGCAGCAATGTCAAGATGACTGACAGCTTGTACACCATCCACAGAAGAAGCAACAGTGATTGTTGGAGACCTTCACAGACTCTTCACCCAGGCTTCCAAGGTGAGAGCTTCAAAGATTTCCTTTGAGGATCAGAGTGTGAGCAAATACTTAATGCAAGGTGGGCCATGTAACGATGAATTGAGTGATTGTTCTATTATAGTTTTCACTTTTACAGATGCACATCAATTATGCACAGTGACTGAAAGTTAAAAAAGAATCATATCCCTAACATCCCCAAATAATGAAATGTATTACAATATACCATCCCAGGATTTCACTGAGTTAGTGTTACATTTACATCTACTTATTTTAAATATGTATGTCTGTATAATTTCAAAGCACATGGATATAGCTTTTCTTGTTTTACTGTTGTTGTTTGGTTGGTTGGTTTGGTTTCTTTTTTTTTTTTTTTTTGTAAAGACAGGGTTTCTCTGTATAGTCTTGGCTGTTCTGGATCTTGCTCTGTAGACAAACGAGCCTGAATGAAGAGATACATCTGCCTTTGCCTCCCTGCTGAGGCAGGCATATGCCACCATACCCTGATTTATACATGTATATAATTTAAAAGTAGACAGAATCTTTTCCAGGGCCACTACACTGTGACCTAAACACCTTTCACAGCGGTATGTTAAGTATGCTATTCCATTCGATAATTCTAACATGACTCATTTGACTATATTATTAATCACTGGATATGTACAAAAAACTCAATTTTTTTGCTATTATTATGATAAGTAACGAAGGTCTTCAGTTACAAATTCCTAAAAAGCTTATATTTTTGGAGCCTTTGCTCCAAAGGAGGGCTGAAATCTTGTGAGCTCATTTAGTACATATGTATGGATTAAGAAAACGTATTTCCTGTAGGATTGCTGGACCATGTTTTAGTTTTATTTTTAATTCCTTGAGGTTTTGCCCAATAATGGTGCACCTGCACCATTTGACACGCAGAAATTGCGTTGAAGATTTCTAAGTAGCCTCTAACCTGTACCATTTAACGTTCTCAGAAATTGTGTTACAAGGTTCTAAGCAGCCCCTAACCTGGCAACACCTGTTTTACTATAGTGATTATCCTAATGGGTGTGTTGGATATCTCACTGTGGCTGTAACTACTGATGAATGATGCTGAACATTTTTTGGTATACCTGTTGTTCAGTAGTATGTTCTTTCTCGATATGAAATCATGTAATTTCTTTATAAGGGTGTGCATTCCCCTGAATATGTCCACAATACATGTTAATAATGTCATGGGGAGTTTTCTCCCTAAAACCTCCAAATATGGTATTTCTTGAGAGGAATAATAACAGAAAAATGAAATTTTATAAGAAGACTTGAGACAGGAGGCTTGAGGGATGGTTCCGTGGTTAAGATTCAATTCCCAGCACATATATGACAGCCCACATCAGCCTGTAACTCTAGATCCAGAAGATCCAACACTGGTGTCATGTGCTGCCTCCACCAGGCATACATGTGGGATACATATATATAAGCAAGTAAACCTCATCTACATAAAATAAGGGGCTTGTGACATAGATAGCATCATTGAACATCAGAGTCTTAGGTCTTGATTCACTTGAAGCAGGGATTCATTTCTGTTTTGAGTATAAAAGTGGTATTGGGACCACACAGAAAAGACTGAGGTGGCCGAGAGCAATGGTTCTTGACACTTTGGGAGGGAGCCCTCTCAACTTTGAGGGTTTTTTGGTCTTCTTGTACCAATTTCACTAACCAACAAACAGTCCTCCTTGCACCTCAGAGTGGAGACTCTCAGTTTTTAGTTTAAAAAGGAACAAAAAAGAAAATTGTGCTCAGGTATATTCTCAAAGAAGTGCTTAATTCTAATTCAAATATATGCGAATCACAGAGCATGTTCTTGTTTTGCTTTGTTCTCAAATTTAATGCTCTAACTTGTTCCCGGATGTATTGTTGATAGAATATCAGTTATTAAGTTATTAAGGTAGGTGTGGTACATGGGGCTTTAATTCTAGCACTCAGAAGGCAGAGGCAGGCAGAGTGAATTCAAGTCCAGCCTGGTCTACCTAGTGAGTTTCAGGTAGGCCCAGGATACTTATTAAGATCTTGTTCCCCAAACAATCTACCTAACAAATAAAATTAACTAGGCTGGAGAGCTAGCTCAGCAGTTAAGGGAGCTCACTGCTCTTAGAGAGCACCCAGGTTTGATTCCCAGCATCAGTGTGGCCTCTCACAATTGCTATCACTCCAGTTACAGGGGATCTGACACCTCTTCTGGACTCTGCAGGCTCCTGCACACATGTGGTACATATAAGCCCACAGAGGCAAGCACACATACATGGAAAATATGAATAGGTAAATGTCTTAAAAGAATAAAATAATATTACAGTGCTTTTATTTCCTCAATGTTGATCAATGTCTCAGAATTCAGTATCTACTCTAACCAGCTCCCGAGTAAATCTAGAGTTCAGAAAACCCCATAGTCTTGTAGTGAGGCAGTGAGGATGTATCTGAAGCTGGTAGACGGAGACTCGTAACTTTCAACACTTGCTTTTGTTTTCACTGGGAAGCTTTCAGACACAGAGTTGGACTGGAGAAAAGCCATCCCTCCATATAGCCAGTATCTAGTTTCTGAATGCTAATGATTCGTTATAGTTGAAACCTCCCTGAAATCATTTCCCCAAGGCCGTTTTCTCGTTTCCTACCTGATCATAGTACCGCAGATAATACTTCACGACATAGTCCACCAGGTTCATCCCATTGTCCTAGGTTTAAAAGAGAGCCCAAATGACAGCAGTTCACAGGAGGCCCTGCCCGCTTCCCAGGTGAGAACTGAAAACCCAGCTCACTTATCATCTGTGAGACTGAGTCCTGTTTCTGCTATATAGCCACCAGCTTTTCCTTCCTCCTCCTAGTTTCATCCTCTTTTTAAATGCCAGCTATAAAAAGAATGACACTACATCATCATCATCATTATTATTATTATTTTGCCTTTGTTTGTGGGAGGAAAATTCAAACAAAATAGGTAGTTCAGGAGTCCTTTGAGGTAAGGGACAAGACAAATATACAAATAAACAAACAAAAATCATCACCCCATATTTTCTGGCACACTGCCAAGACAGGAGGGAGTGGGGAATGCTAAAGGGAGCTGAGAGCTAGAAGAGAAAACCATCCCTCCCTTTCTACTTCTCAGAAAATGTGTGCTCTTAATGGCGTGAAAAACAATCAGGGCCAGCTTAAAAGGAAAGCCAGGCCACTTTATGACCCTGGAAGGCCAGGGGGAGCAGGCCCTCCCACAAGGCAGCCTTTGTGTCCTGTTCACAGGGGTCTAATTCTAATTTGCCTGTGTATTTCCCTTCCCTGCTCCCCCCCTGCCCCCATGGGACGCCCAGATATGGGCTGGTTGTTTCTAAAAAGGTGGCTCTGCAGGGGTGTGGAGCCAAATGATAATCAGGCTTGGGGAGTTGACAGGAGACCCCAGCCCCAATTGTTATGGGCAAAAGAATAATTCAAATACTAGGCCCAACAGTGTTTGTCACTCAAGAATGAGTAAATTACAAGTGGTCAATGCTAAATTCAGACAGACTTCAGCCTCTGCTAAAGTATGACTAGTATAGTACACTGCTTTATCATGTATTGCAGTAGTAGCTTAATATCTGATCATGTATGTTAGAGCGAAAACATAAGATTTATCACTTAAAATGAAGTCTGAGAGAGAGAGAGAGAGAGGGAGAGAGAGAGAGAGAGAGAGAGAGAGAGCAATCTCAAGTCAAAACAAGGCACAGTAGGGAAAAAACAAAACCGCATGCTTTCAGATAAGTGATTACTATTAGAGAAAAGACTAGACAAATGGATCAGTCTGTAATATTTGGTTTTAAATTAAAGGTGCACAAGAAAAATAACCATAACACATAGACAGTATGAAAAGTAAATAAATACCCGACTTTTGACGTCTTTGAGTTTGGGTAGAATTTCTAAACTATATCCATCTGCTTGTCCCCGAGTCCTGTTTCCTCCATTCATGTAATTTCCAAAAGCCAGGATGAGAGCTAAGATGTCCTTCACACTCTTCATGTGCAACAGGCCCTGCAATGGCGAGCACAAGTTACCATGGTCTGGACTCCAAACACGGTCATGTTTGTTCAACAGCAAATATTTCTTAAAGGAACCAAGCCCTGGTTCCTGTTAACTGGCTTGTGTCCAGTCCTATTAACAGTTGGCAAATAGAAGATACATTGCACTAAGCAGTATCTTAGGGGTTGGGGAGCACCCCACAATTTCCTACTTACACAACAAAGTTATAATGATGAGGGCTGAACCTTTGCATTTGTTTTTCATTTTGGGCAGTTTTCATCTTGATATTTTAAAGTGCCGATGGGTTAATAAGAGAGAATGTAGTTAGTATTTGATAATTCTAAGTTGAAAGAGGTCAGATATCTTTTCAGGATCTCTCTTTTGGGACTACAGACCTACACACAAAAAATAGAGTCAAATTCAGAGTAGACACAATAGCAACAGAAGATAGACATAGTCCTCAGACATTAATTTTGATAAAGCACTTTAAGGTCAGAAGTTGTGTTGATTACGTCTTTTCAAAATTTATTTTCTCTGGGAATTTTCTTCATATTTATGAACTTTCTCAATATTAAGCTGCTAAGAATTTTCTTTAGCCTCCTATCTCACTCATTTTTTCCGTCTCTGTTAATCTTCACATCAAGCACAAACTTTCGAACAGAAACTCCACTTATACTATTAATTAGCTTTCTTTTCTTTCTTTATTACATTTCCTTGTGTGTGGAGTGGGTAGTTGTGGGGTGTGCAAGCACGCAGATATCAGAGGACACCCTGCAGAAATTGGTTCTTTCCTTCTACCATGCAGACTCTGAAGCTCAAACTCAGATCGCCAGCTTTGGTGGCAGGTGCCCACTGAGCTATCTTTATCTTCTTTTACTTTAGGATAAAAGGAAAGCTAAAGTTTAGACCTCTGCCATGATCTCTCAGGTGTTACCAGTATGTGTATCACATGTTGGTAATGGTTGTTCTTTCTTCATTGGAAAACCTTACATGTCAGAGGGGGAAAACCATGGCTCCTGGCAAGCAATGAAGCATTACAGAGCTTGTGGCGCACACTTGTACCATGTGGGAGTGAAAAGGCTGGGGGTTAGAAGTGAGCTCTGTACAGAGTGTGGTAGACACAGAATGTTTGTACCAGTCACTCATGATCAGTTAGTTATTCAGGTCTTTTCATTTATGATGTAGACAGACTTCAGACGGTCACCTGAATCTCTTTGTGATTTGAAGAGTTGAACAGGTATCAGACTATTCTGTTTTGATTTTTGGTGGCTGGTATGTACACAGTGAAGCATTGACAGTTTTTCTAAGAATCTTTAAAAAGCATTATCTTTCCCCCTTCCCACTCTTCTTCAGCTCATGTCTCCCTTTCTTCATATACTCGGACAGGACAAATGGCACATTTTCCTTTAGCAGTCAATGTAAAGTACAGATGACTTTCATTCTATGTCATGAATGTTGTCTTTCTCATGTCTCATTTCCTTATTTACCCTCAATAGGGGCAATGCAGGCCTTAAGTTAAACGACAAACATACCTTAGAGGCTCGTGTGACAATCTCTACTTTTCTGTGTAAGGAAGTGACACCCTCGGAAAACACAGCCCTAAAGATTATGCATTGGGCACGCTCAGCAAAATTGGGAATCTGGGCTAACTCATGCAGAAATCTGTGAAAATAAAAACAAGTCATTTAAGAAAGAGGGCTGGTACAGATCGACTAGGGGAACATTCCTTACATCACAATTTTTGGTTTATAAAGGGAATTGGATGGGCCGTCTCAAGGAATTCCAAGGGTACCTGCTCCACTGGTGACAGCAGGGCTCTGTCTAATGAGTTCATATGATGGTAAATAATTTAGATGAGCAGAAAGTTAATGCAAGTATTCTGAAAATATTGTGTCTCTCCTGCTACTCAAACAAGAGGCTAAACCCAATGGAAAGCCCTGGTCTTTACTACTTGAAAAAAATAACAAAATAACTCCAGTGTCAAGTACGCCAACAAAGGCAGAACAAACTGAAACCTTTGAACAAATGTCTATAGTCTACTGATACGGTATTATTGAAGTGAGATTGCTATTATTTTTGCTCAATCATATAACAGTCTATATTGATCAAATTCCCCATATATTTGTTTACCCTTTGTGTCAATTTACTCACAATTTAGCTCAGTATTTAGAAGAAAGCAGAAACTCATAAAGTAGACACCCCAAGAGTCTTTAAAAAGTCTGCCAAACAGCTCTTAAGAGCCAAAATTGGTTACTGCTCTACACACAGTAGCTCACTGTCTCAGTGACTGGGCACTGGTGCCCTCTGCAAAATGAAGCTGGAAGAGCTACATACTTTTGAGGCCAACCACCAGAGGAAAGGATATAAAGTAATATGAGTTCAAACAGTTGGCTATGAACTCAGAAAGGGGGAGAATCCATTGGCAGCCCTTAATTTCACTTGGGAGTTGAAATGATTATTAACTGATATTTCTTAAAGTCTTGGTCAATTCACAATACCATCACTTTTAGATGTTGCACTCTCCCACCAGATATAGTTTTGTAGATGAACACAATTGTTATTCTTTGTGTCAAATGAAAAGGAGGAGGAGGAAAGGTAGGAGGAGCTGGAGGAGCAGATAGGGCAAGGGGAAGAGAAACAGGAGGAAAAGGGGAGGGGCCCAGCTTTCTTCTTCTATTGGCAGGGTGTGGGTATGTAGCCTAGGATAGCCTATAATTCACCATTCTCTTGCCTCAGTATCCTCATTTGCTGAAATTATGAGGCTGTACCACAATCCCTACTTCTATATTCCTTTTTGTCCTTAAGTTTGTTTTCTTGCTCTATATTCTGTTCCTCCTCAGGCTTTTTGGGGGGACGTAATTTAGTAGCCTTGTTTGTTTTGTTGTACACTTTGTTTTTGAGGCAAGATCTTACTTATAACTTACTTATACTTTAGGCTGCCTTAAAATTCCAATCCTCCCTGTCTCAGCTTCCCAAGTACTAGGAGAATAATTTTATAACACTATGCCCTGGTAAGATTTGGGATTTAATACATCTTAATTACCGGCTATTTTTCTTATTTCCTCCAACGAGGTCCTAGTTGTAATTTTCTCCCTGCACCAGCCTTTTAAAATACTATGGAAATGAAGCATGAAGGATTCAAAAGAGAAAACAGTTCCTTATCTTCAGACCCTGCAGCCACAGTTATCATCATACTACACACTATAGCATTTAAAGAATACAGAAGTATTGCATAGTGACAGGAAGAAAGTAATTACCCTTCCTTTCTAAATTGTTCCCTCATAAGTACAGTGCAGCCTTGACCGGAGTCATTTATCATGAGTGACATCAGAGCTGTCGCCAGTGTTCACAGTGAGTAGTAAACATCTCTGGGGACTGGCAGCATTTGGTTCTGTGATGAGTTTTGGGAAGGTTACTCCTTTAGATACTGAGAGTCATTCCAGAAAATTCCCTGCATTTCTCCAATCCCCAAAATGACCATGTCATCTCTTCATACCCCGTGTAGAACCTTGATCTCTGGACTAAGTAAATGCCCTGCTTAAAATGAGCATGGTAGTGAAGTAGCCATAGACAGCACATGCGTGAGCAAACATAGCAATGCCTCAGTTCATTCACCAGGACATGGATGGGAGGCAGGGAATGTCTAAGGGAAAACAACTGATTGTCCCTCAGAGGAGCCACAGAACTAGAGGCTCCTCAACAAAGAAAAGGGTAAAACCACAAGGTTGGCTAAGATTCAAAACAAACCAAGATCAGGGCTTGCCCTGGGGAGGTTCTCAAAGCATCTTAAGACCCCAGGTCTCAAGGAATTGGGAGGGAATGGCAGATGGTGGGGCTTTGCTGCTGTAAAGAACCTATCGCAGCTAAGGAGTTCTAGTGCATTGGCCATGATTACTCAGTTCTTCAGGTGTATGTGATGCCTTTACAGGTGCATAGGGCATGGGAACAGGATCCAGCTTATACATGGTTCCTTTTTGATGCTACAATAAACACACCTGTGATTATTGAAGTGTGGAAACGATGTGATCAATAACAAGAGGCTCAGGGAAGCAACTTCGTGGTACTGATCCACCATGATGCTATAAATGACAAGCCCGAGGACCAGGAAAGTGAGCATAAGCCAGGTTGGACAATGTCTGTAAGGAAGTTGGGTAAATACAAATGGGGTTTTGTATTCTGAAATATACCTTTTCTGAACAAATGGAGGGTTTTCAACAGGGAAATAATACTTTTAATATTTTATTCCACATAATCACCACAGCAGTGGCATGGCTACCCGGAAGTACTAGCAGATTTCAGTCTGGGAGAACTGGGAATGACCTTGCAAGGGGCAGGCAAGATGGCCTGTGATGATGGAGAAACACAAGTGGAGAAGAGGGCTGTGGAGCAGGAAGATGCTGAATGAATGATCCCTTGTGATGCTGGAGGAGGCCAAGATGACTTGTGGGTTTTGGGTATGGAAACATTTGGTAAAATTTAAAGATATAAAACACAAAAAAGTAAAATCAGACAAGAAAATATATGATTTTATGCAACTTTCAGCACAAACATAACCAGGCAAAGGCTCGAGGAAAGGTACCACAACTCTTTTCTCATTTGTCTAGCAAAGTGCCAGAAAGAAAGGTCATCTCAAAGCCGATACCAACCAAGTATCTGATGAACTCTGCCCCCTGCTCCCTTGTGTTAGGATAATGAGCCATTATGGACCCACACACACAGTATCTTGAATAGCAGACCTTCTTATTTACAAATATCTATGGACTAATTTCCATTTGGGCTAGATTCTATAACAAAAAGGACAGACTCACAAATGAGAGAGTTCCATCCTTAGGCAATTTGGTTTATTTTCCCAGGAAGGATTACAGTTTAGCTTATATCTACAGCAGAAGGCTTGTGGCTCCCTTTGTGTGAGTTTTACAGTCATAGTGGCAAATCAGCTGACAGGTAGGACAATGCTGTGTGATCCAGCGTTTGAAAAGAGACCAATATGATCTATCATCATGGTATGATCTAAGGTATGTGTTCAACAGGGATCCAATTCATGGTATTATTTCACAATGCAGTCTATACCACAGGAAGGAAAACACTATAGCTAGCTGCGGACCCCTGTGAAAGGTTCTAATGTGATGTGTACAATAACCTCACTACAGACCATAGGAGGCCAGTTTTGGGCCTAATCAGTCAACAGGTCTAACCAGAAGAACCCCACTCTTCCTCACCAACATCTCAAGGCAGGAAGGATTAAAGAGTCAAGGGAGACATCCCTGGAGGGAGTGGCTCTCAGACAGCCAGGTCCCAAGCAGATGACACCTCTGTGAGAAATGGCTTTCTAAATCTGGCATCAGGGTGTAAGCGAGTTGATGAGGTGAGTGATGATGCCATCCTCTCCATGCTGTGATTTATAGGACTGGGCACCACACGACTCTTAAGAAACTGAAATGCTAAATTCAATGATTCATATTTCCCAGTATGTAAAACATGCGTATAGTCCACTTGTTGGGAATAAGTGGCAGATACATAGCCAAAGAAGCAGACTCTGGCATAGATCAGACAAAAGCTGCCTTCAGAGACACAAAGAGCAAAGGTGAAGCCTGCTCAGGTCTGCTCAGGTCTACCTTTCTTTCCATGTCAGTATCTGAGCCTTGTCTGCCACCTAAGCAGCCGACATGACAGGCATCATTGCCTCCAGTAATAGTGGTAAGTGTTCCTTCAGCACAATGGCCCTCCAAACTTTGAAAATGCTTATCTAGCTAGATCATGGGTGGTGGTTGGGGGTTGGATAATAAGTAGTGTGCTAATTAGTTGCCACCATCAGTCTATGCCCTGGCAATTAGTGCTGAGAAATGACGCTGGGAGTTTGTACCACAAAAGGCAGAGGAATGCCTCTCTTGGCAGACACACGCTGTTCATTTCACATGAGTGGTTCATTGTGCCCCATCCCCTCAGCTTACAGCAGGTTCTACTGAATGGGTTGAGTGTGGACAAATTAGAGCTAATGGACCAAACCCAACGGGCCATTTCTATTTGTGTCATTGGTGAGACTAAGAATGGTTTATAGACTAAATTATTGTAAAAAGTATAAAAGTATTTTTGTCATGTAAAATAATACAAAATTCAAATCTTGGCAATACTAAATAAAATTGAGGTCTAGCTGTGACCTCTTGGTTATATATTATTATCTGTGGTTGCTTTTGAACCACAGATGGCTGACTTGAGGAGCCACTAGAGATCATTTAATCCACAAAGTATAAAATACTACCTAGTATTTTACAGGAAAACTTTGCCAACTCCAGATTTACAATTTCACCATATAATTGGGCATATTAATCCAGCCCAAAACTTTGATATGCCCTGTCATCCCCAAATACCATTAGTGGCTGTGTCAGTGTCTACATATCTCAACACTGATCACTTCCCCTTTACTCATTAGTGATGTAACTGGAGCTAATTCACAATAGGTAAACCTGACTTCTAGGTCAGCAGCATCGACAGTGGTGGAGGTGGTGAGGCTGATGGCTGATGTTAATGAGACAAAACAGCAGTAGAATCCCATCTGAATTGACCTATACACATTCTTAGGCTCTGTGCACCAGCTTTAAGGGGCAGGAGTCTGGGCTATACATCCATGTGAGAGGATCCCATCTAAGGTTCATAAATTATCAGCAAGGTTTAACGGTATTTTGGGTAAACCTAGGATCTCTAACAAACTACCTTGCCAGTCATTTAGAGATGCTGCCTTCTGGGTCTGATTGTCTATGAGAACTAAGGCATCCCAACCTAAGATATAGAGTATAAGACAGAACCTTGAATGCGTGCAAGCATAGCCTGTTCCACTCAATCTAATTTCTGTTTCTGCTTAGCTTTCTGTAGTTGCCTCTCCCTGGTTGCAGAAGGCTGGCTTAAATGGAACATAAAGCATTCAAAGTAGCAACAGGCACAGGAACCCCAAACCAACTGCACATTTGCAGTCTTAGTCCCTAAATACCTTGCTGGGGACTCCCAGAAACTCATCTCTGGCTTGCAGACCTCAAGGGTCTAGCCAACAAGAAGCCACTTAGGTATTCAGCAGAGGCTGGAGTTCTCAATGTGTGGGAAATGATACTGCAAACCAGAGCTGAACACCCAGAGAATTAATGAAAAGAGAGCAAGACACACAGATGGAGGATCAGAAAGACTTAAGCTAATCAGCACAAGCAGAGAAGTTTGTGGGAAACCTGCCACATTCGGGCTACATTTACTGAGCATGGCATTTAAGAAACCCAGTTTGAATTTGGTGACTGCTATCATCTTTTTCAAAGATCAGCAAAACTTGAGGCAGAGTAGTAATGACTTCTTCCTTCCTCAGTTACCCTTTTGGCTAAAATGTTTAGTCTAGGAGGAATTAAGTTGCTAGAACAAAAAAGAGGAGTGGCATGGGGTGAGAGCAGGGGGAGAGACACACTGCATCACAGCATAGATCCCAGCAGCCTTCCCGGCAGCCGAGTCATCCTGCTGGATGCAATAGGGCACAGAATGACGTGCTTGTAACTCAGTTCTCTGCACCATTTAGACTTGACATTCATAGCTGGGAGGCAGACAGATGGAGGTTGCAGCTTTCCTTTCAAACTAACCAAAGGAAGTTTAAGGGTCCTTACTGTTCAGGTTTGTCCAGCAGCTTCAAGTCTTCTTCTTTGGATGTCTCATAGTACTTTCTTATTTTAGTCAGTTCATCTTCTTGGGCTCGCTGCATTGAAAGTAGAAAAGAAACAAAGAACACACACACACACACACACACACACACACACACACACACACACACACACACAGAGTCAAGTGAATCAGACTAAGACCACAGGAATCCTTTTGTGACCCTACATCCCATAGCACTGGCATTGCTTTGGCCTCACCCCAAGTATAAGAAGCTCCACAGGTTGGGTCTGCAAAACCCTTTCAGGTCATTCTGATATATGTTCAAGTTTGGCAGTTACTAGCTAAAGCAAATGGTCATGACAAGTGCACACATCCAGACGCTTAGGTCAAGACAGTTGACAGCCTGAGCCTCCTGTAGGCAGCTATAGGGCAAGATGTACTTAGCTTCCTTTTTCCCAGAACAGCAGTCTTATCTCACATGGCCTTTCCACACTATTATTTGTAGTCTCCACTTTCTTTTTTCCTGCATTTTATAAGTATGCATTGTTCACACCACTCATTTAGGCATTTAGTAACATACTTTATAATTTACCCAACATTTCTAGTCGTGTGCAGACTTCCTTTACTGGCCATGTGCATACACTTGAAATCATGATAACAACAGAAAGCATCAGCAAGGCACCTTGACAGAGTTCTTTGGCATCAATTACCATTGCATTAATCTACTGGTAATGAGCTTCTGATTCAGAATCCTCACACTGCCCTCCAGGCATCACTAACTCCCAATGGTCTGATATGTGTGAGCTTTGGGGTTTATTTGTGATAGGAACATGTAAAAAGCTCCCACCTGGTACTAAATAATTTCTTAAATACATAAAGAATATGTAGGGAATTGGTAAGCTCACTGGGCTCTATTAGACTATGGAGATTCAAGGTCCCAGGGGATGTAAATGTTATATTCAACTATCCTGTGAGCTGAGGGACTGCAGCATGTCACAGGGCCCCACAGTCATCTGAGCATTGCCATGGCTTAGAGAGTCCAGTTCCATCTATGCTTCTGCAACCTGACAGTCAATGAACAGAACAGTTGACAATCATGGGACTTCTGATTCTCCAGCATCGCATCATCTCCTCACAGGAGCCTATGGACTCTGCTCAATATTTCCTCAGTGATGTTTCTTAATATCACAATGTTGCTATGGTTTCTGACCTGGCTTTGTGGGATGGGCTCTGGGCTCCATGAGAAGGCTACTTCATCAAATTTGTGTTCAATAGAAAAAAAAAATCAAGTAGAGTTACACTACAATCTGGATTGTGCTATAAAAACAAAACAAAGTAAAACAAAGCAGGATCAAGCTCCGTAAACAACTGGCTCAACCAAGATCACCTAGCAGGCAGTGATAGAGCTGGGCCCCAAACTTTAGGACTGTCTGATGTTAAAGCTAGAACACAGGATTGCCATCCAATGCTGCCTTGTGCATTTAATGTCACCAGCTCATCTGGTATCAGAGTAACCATCCAAGTGGCTATTCGGATTCCTATTCCTTGGAGGAAGACACTAGAGTATGCCAGCATTAAGTAGAAGGATCACTTCCACTAGGGCTGGGCTCCAGGGCATATCTCTGCTTTGCTGGTGGCAGTAAGATCTACTGATACAGACACTACAGTGGGAGTTAGCGCATGCTCCCTCAAGTACAAATTGAACCTCTGTGTCTGGATCTCACGTTGTGTTCAGGTCCTTACTACCAAAGAACATGAAATGCTCAGTGATGTTTAAGATAGGCATAAAGATGAAAACTCCAGCTCTGCATGCCTTTGACACTCACATTTTCATATAATGCTGCCAGAGTCTCCAGGTCAACCACAGAGTCATCCACATTAAATATGGCTGTCAAAAAGAAAGGAGAAAAAGAGATAAGGCCTTTGATTTGATCTGCAAACCAATGCTCACCCCAGGCCCAGCTTTCCCATAATATAGGCCCCCCCTTCCTTTCATACCACGGGGGTTCATTTGAAAGCAAACCCAAAATTGTCCCTATGGCTAGCCTGAGTGTTGGCCCTGCCTTATTTAATTCTTTGGCCTTTGAGTCCTTTCTGTAGTTTAATTTGGGCTCCACAGGAGAAGTGTTTGTGCTTTTAAACTAAATCAGTTTGGAGGCTTGAAGCACAATTTTAAATCTTTCTTCCCGGCTGGTAATTGAAGAGATTTAGCACTTAATGCAGAAGAATTGACTCTTGCCCATTACCAGGAAGGGAAAAAGAAGAAAAAAAAAGGACGATGTTGGCAAATTAAATGAATTCAGGCATGTGATTTCAGGCACCTTTCTGTGGCCACCGCAAACATCTTGTTTAGATTAAAAAGACAAGAAAGAATAATCGTTGCATCAATAGCAAATTAAGATCATAGAAACCTCCCATGAGCCAGCATCAAGGTAAGGTTTTATTCCCATGTTTTTATTGGAATTCTGTCTTTGGTGCTGTATCTTAAACAAGTCATTTTGCTGTTAGCTAATATGCTTATGATTTCATCTGTCGAGGTTCCTTCCCATATATGTTAGGATACACATGCAACAGATTTTTAAAGCTTTAATGGAATTGGCTATCAAAGTGTTTGAAATTGGCAAGGCCCACATCTTTAAATAATTATTCAAAACTAATAAGGTTTGTCCCCTCAGCCCTACCTCCCTTCCCTGACTTTACATTGTGAAATTAACCAGCGTGCTAGTAAATTTTCTCTGTGGCAGGCTAATTAATTTTATTAAACCAACCATTGATGCTTAGAATGCCTTAAAATTCTGCTCTCCAAGCTATTCTGTTCCTCCCATTACACCACATTTCCCTGGAGAATGTAGAGATCAAGGTGAAGGGCAGGTTGCTTCTGAAATTTCCCCCCTCTATTATTTAGAATCATATACATGCATTCAAAGCTTTCAATAAAATTAGTTAGCTGAGGTAAGAGCACATCCCATCACAGTATTTAAAACTCCTTCTCAGTCTACTTTCTTTAACTTAGACACTTATTCACAAGCTTTTTCTAGACTTGTGGATGAGACAGGGAGTAAAAGACTACTGACAAGATTATACCAAGGTACCAGGAAAGCCAGTGTGAATCCTGCCATAAGGAAGAAAGAAAGAAAGAAAGAAAGAAAGAAAGAAAGAAAGAAAGAAAGAGAAAATATGTGGTTTGAGAAAAGACAGAAAGAACTTAGTGTCTCAGGACTGCTGCATTGTTCTCGGAGATAATACAGACCCACTAATTGGTCAGATGGACAATCTAAATAGATACTTTAAACACAGGAAAACAGAAAAAGGCCAGGAACAATGTCTCTTTTATGTGAACTCCAAAGTCATGTTTTAAAAATCAGTTGGTATGAATGAATATGAAAAGGCACAAATGTAAAGATAGTCTTTTTAAGGAATGATTGCTTTAAAAAAAATCATGCACCTTAAGTTCTGGATCTGAGCTTGGAGCCTGAAGCAAACAATCTCTATCACCAAGAAAGAGAAGATCTGGGGGTTTTCCACACTGCTTAAGCGCTTGGTTTTAAAGAGTTAGTCAGCCTTGACCCCAGATACATGGTTCAGTGGTTTGTATTCCTGTGTACCAGGTAGCAAAAAGAAAATATGAAGAAAGGATGGGGCAAGAAATGGGCTAGGTCCTGGAGATATTTATTCACCCATTTACCCTCCTTGGCACTGAATAATTATTTGTTGAGTGTGCAGAAATCGTTTTCAATGGCCATGGATATCTAAGTCAAAAGTGTTGGTGACACTTAAGTATTTGATCTCACCAAAATAATATCCTAGATTGAGGGACAGAAGACAAGCAAATGTGTGATTTCAGGTGGCAACAAACTTAAAATGAAGTAAGCTGGGCTGGGCTTATAGGTTAGACGCTGCCTAGCATGCACAGATTCCTGGGTTTGATCCTTAGCACCCAAAGAAGAGGGAAAAGAAATAACAGGCAAATATATATATATATATAACAAGAGATAACATGATCAAGAAAGGCTTCTTGAGGGAGGTGACATGTAAGTTAAGATGTAAAGTGGTCAATTTTGAGGGTATCTTGGCAGAAAACCTTTCAGGGAGAGGTAACTACAAAAGCAAGATTCTTTTGGAAGGGGACTGGTCGGGGGGGGGGCAGTGACTCCCATGAATAGAACCTCATCCACTATATCAGCTAATGTGGTAGGTTGTGAGACAATATGTGTGGTTGCCACAGCACATAAAATATAAGCTCATGACAGAACCTAACAAAGGCCTATGATGATCATGACTTCAGGCATAACTCAGGAAGCTTTATTGGCATGGCAAGTATAAGCTCAGATGTCTCAAAAGTTATGGAGAATATGGTGCCAAGTAACTTAAAGGAAATTTAATACATGCAGACCTATTTATTATATCCAAGTTCAATCCTTTCCACAGGTCATTATCCTTCCTTATATAACCAAAATTAGTTAGTTAGCTAGCTGTTCAAGAAATAAGTGAATGAGTAATTAAGTAATGAGTTAATCAGCTAGTTAGTTAGCCCATTAGTTAGCTGCTAGCTTGTTTCTTCGCAATGCTGGAAACTGAATCTGGTGTCTAGCACATGCTAATCAAATGGTCTAACATAGAGCTATAACCCCAGCAGCTTCCTTTAATGTATGTCTCAAGATTGCTTGGTGTTTATAATACCTCAGTTATCTCTCAAATATTGAATAAAGTCACAATTCCTTGTTCTGCTTTTAAAACTCACTCTATCTTCCCTGTACTCTTGTAGTCTCATTTCTGACCTCCTCTATGCATCCCAGATGCAACTTATCTATCAGCATACCCTTCCACACCTCACCACGAAGGCTCAGTACTCAGAGATTACCTGTCCTAGAAGGACAACTCTTAAATTTCAGGCTAGAGAGTCCTCAGTCTGCCACAGTACCTCACAATATTTTAAATGGAATAAAGACAGTATAATAAGCTAGGCAGTGGTGGTTCATGCCTTTAATCCCAGTACTTAGGAAACAGAAGCATGCAGATTTCTGTGAGTTCAAGCCCAGCCTGCTCTACAAAGCTACACAGAGAAACCTTGTCTTGAAAAGAAAGGAAAGACAGTGTAATGTTACAATGTCCAACATGCTAAGTGTGCAATAGTTTCTCTCCTACACTAGATTCTGGGAGAGTCCTGGAGTAAGTATTTCCTTAGGCATTGTGACCACTCTTCCTGGTATGAAATGGTAGAAAATAGTGTGGTGTGAGTGTGTTTGGGCAGGGGAGGGGGTTGCCACAGGGCTCCCAAAAACTGAATCTTACTGGATATGAGGAAAATTTCTTGGTAAGGAGAGCTTTTGGACTTGAAAACAAATAGGAACACTGAGATGAAAATGGGCAGGATTTAAGCAAATCAGCATATTATATTACACAGTCTATATTTGAATTCAGTTTGCTTCTTAATCGTCCCTTTCCCCAAGAATCTAGGTTAGTGTTAGGGTTTAGGGTTAGGGTTGGGTTGGGTTACATAATCATGATGTGTAGTCATGGTCTCACTATAGGCAAACTGTAGTCCTGAACACTGAAAGACCAAAATCATTTAATAAATGACTTTTCCATTAATGTATGAATAAGATAGGTGCTGTTCTCATCATTCCACCTTCAACGATTTTTAAAGAATACATGTCACCATAGAAGAAATGTTTCAAGTTAAGGTTAACTGATATATTGTTTCAGGCCAGTTCCTAAACACCATTTGCTAATCTTTATTAATTAAGCCAAACTGTTTCCAGACAAAGACAATTTCTAAACTTACAATATGTCCCTGGGTACAGAATTGGAAGATGTGACACAGTGAAAGAAGGAAATACAGATAAGTTCACAGAATCTTCTAGAAATGGCAAGTATTTTGGCTTAAAATGAATTAATTAAAGGGACTGAGGAGATTGGTCTGCACATAGTTAGGGATAAGACTTTGTAGAATTTAGAACCGTATTCAAGGACCTGCAATAAACTTGATGAGCATCAAAGAGTTGCTGGGCAGTTTTTTGATGAGGAATCTACTGGACAGGTCAAAATTTGGACAGCTTAACACCTCATACAATGGCTAAGGTGTGAAAAACCTAGAGGATACAGATGGAAAGGACAAAGAAGGTGGCTTTCTGGAGCTATCCTTGACTCTGGAGACTCAGGGAACTTGGAGGTAAAATGAAACCCAGAGTGAGGGGAGAACACCCATGCCAATCCCACGGAAGCAAACAGAGAATGGATCTTTCTCCCAGGGCCCATGGGGGAATGAATCAGAGGAGAGACCACTTTGGTCTTCTTGATATGTTTTCAGTAAAGCCCTATGTCAACCAGATATGGATCCTACAATTAAAATAAATTTCAAAGAGGAAGCAGTCTCAAGAGGTTCATTGGTTGATTGTGGAATCTTCAAGAGATTAAATTATTTCTATTTTTTTTTCCTTCCTATAGCATATCCACCCAAGGGTTTAAAAGCTAAAAATCCCAGGCTTCTGGCATATATGGACATAATTCAGCTTCCTATTCACCAAATATAGTCTAGGTGCTAGGGGTGGTGGCAGGATCTGTGGGTCAGATAGGTCTTAAAATACCGAAATCAATAAGTGGCCCAATCACATTTATATTCTACTTAGAAGGCATTACATGAATGTATTTAACTAGTTAACTGATAACCACAATCCTTGATTAAAGTATTTGTGGAGTTCCCTGGGATCAGACTGTTTCCTCCATTTTACACCAGAAAATATGCATTCTTGATGGAAGATGTAGGTCAATGGTGAATGCCTTTCCTAGTGCATGCAAGGCCATGGGGTCAATCAGTACCACAAAACAACAATAAATGAATAAATAAGTAAATAACTCATCTCTGTCATTCGCCTGTCCCCACAAGCA